AGACTCCATCCCCAGATGGTCCAGCTGATTTGGAGACGTTTTGGAGCCGCTCAGGTAGACCTGTTTGCCTCTCCAGAAACCTCTCACTGTCAGTTGTTCTTCTCCCTGGCCGAGGGAACACTCGGCACGGACGCACTGGCACACAGCTGGCTGCGGGGCCTTTGCAAGTATGTTGCAAATGCTCACTATTGCCAGTGAGCCTTCTTGCACAGTTGCTGTGCAAGGTCAGGAAGGACGAGGAGCAGGTCCAGTTGGTGGCACCCTATTGGCCTACCCGGACCTGGTTCTCTGAGGAAGGATTTACTGACTCAGAGATGGGGCACCCTTTGGCACCCGCGTCCAGACCTCTGGAAACTTCATGTCTGGTCCCTGGACGGGACGCGGAGGTTCTAGGTCATCCGACGTGACGTCTCCGTTCCCTCCTTCAGGGAATGAGGGTTACCATACGTAACTTCTTATACAGTCGAGCCGACTGTTGCAACGAAAGCAACTTTCACCGCACAAGCTCTTTACTTTCAGTTTTCATTCTTACATTCAGCATTAACAGCAGTCCAAAAGGGGTAAGCTTTCAACTGAACTGTAGGCTATAGCCTACATGCATTTTAGATGCTTATATTATGCTCTTGCCCCATCCATGCACGTTATTATATGAGCGGATTTTTTAAACATTAAAACTGCTCAAGTCATTTCAGTGGTAGGCTATGATACATATTCATGTAGCCTATTAAACTCCCCGTAATAGCACGCAAATATTTCTGCCCGTTTTCGCTCATTGTCAGCATCTGCTTTTCTGCAACAGACTGAAGCTCCGCGTGAATTCAGCGTGCCTTGCATTCAGCTAATAAAAGAAAAATGCTGCAATTTTCTGGTATTATTTTATTATTGTTGAGGCAGTCTCCAGCTATATCTTAAACTTCTTAAAATACAGTCCACTTCAGATTGGTTTTAATCACTGCATAAAAAAAAATTAACCAATCTGTATCTAATTCTGATTGGGTGGGCTTAGCCCACCCCTGCCCATGCCTGGAGTCGGCCCTGCCTTGCAAGCTAGGTTGTCCTATTGTATAATGAGTGTTAGTATGCAGTGTTATGCAGTTCCTAGAAACACAGCTTTATTAATAAGTTTAAAAAGTGTACCAGAAAACCTTGTATCAGAGAGTGTTGAAGAAAAAGTACAATATCATCAAGGAGAATAAAATGTTTGATCAGAGAAACTGAGAAAAAACCTCAATTTACTAAATTTACTATAAATATTTCATTGAATTTGAAGAATGCAGTGGCATGAAAACCAAAAATGATCAGTGATCTGGAAGCTTTTTCAAGTGAGGAAAGGGCCAAATTCCAGTAGAGAGGTTTCAGAATAAAATATTCTCTATAAAACTTAACTTTTGGGGGTTGAATAATTTCGTACATGAATTTAGAGAGCCAATTTGAGGATATAAAATATAATAGTTATAATAGTATATAATAGTAATTTTTTAAAGATATATTTTTAACATTTTAGCTCAATTGTTATGAATTATGAAGATAATATATAGAGACTGTATATTATAATATTATAAAGATAATTTATCATGACATAGAAGTACTTTCACTATAGTGAAAGCCTTAGATAGAATTTTTTTTTTTTTATTTTGGACCCCATATTTTGCACCACGATGACTGTTCACTGAATTCTCCCTCAGGTCTGGTACATGTTGGAGATGAGTTAAGGGAGGTCAATGGAAATCTCATTATACACAAACGTCCTGAGGAGATCAGCCAGATTCTGGTGTGTTCACTATTCCTCTGTTGTTTTACAAAAGCTGAGTCATTCCCATAAGATTCCTTATCTGAAACGGCACTTACCTGATTTAGTGTCCTTGATTGTTTATTGTTTGTCGGGCTGCAGTCTCAGTCTCAGGGCTCGATCACTCTGAAGATAATCCCTGCCATTAAGGAGGAGGATAGATTCAAGGAGAGTAAGGTGAATGTAATCACTTTATTTGAACGTCATAGGACAAAAATGATAGTAGCTGCTTCATAATATGTATGCAATGTTATATGCTCTGTTTTTTTATTTCTCTCTTAAAGGTCTATTTAAGAGCCCTGTTTGATTACACACCATTTGAAGACAAGGCCACACCTTGTCAGGAGGCAGGACTGCCTTTCACACGTAGGGATATCCTGCAGGTGGTGAGCCAAGATGACCCAACATGGTGGCAGGCCAAAAGAGTGGGAGACAGCAACCTGCGTGCCGGCCTCGTTCCTTCAAGACAGTTCCAGGAGAGGTACACAACAAAAATCATGTCTACAGCTACCTTTAATTTACCTTTATTACTGCCTTATAGACCAGATGTCTCTAATATGCAATAGTTGTTCAAGAGCAGATTTTAAGTGGAGGCTGATTCTTCAAAAATTTGATTTGTTTGGATACATTAATATTAAGTTTCTTTCCTCCTTTTATGTAAATTACAAGCAGGATTGATGATGTATTAAAATGTAAATAAAACTGGTTTTAAAGTTCTGATATTAATTAGCTATTAATAGAACAGGAATTAAATCCTTGACCAAAATTATGTTATATGCATTATTTTAATATCCATTCTGATTGGTCATTTTTAATCAAATCAGCCTCCTCTTGCAGTGTTTAATGGGCTATCATATATTGAATTAAAAAAAAACATCCTTTTAAATTAGTTCATCAGATTTATGAATGTTAGTAGGTAAATTAATCATTTCATTTTGAATAAATATTTGAGGAGACAGCCCCGTCTCCCTGTGACAGTCCACCACTATAGGTCTTCTAAAACAAAGTGTTTGATTTCTTCTGATTATAATTATATTTGGACTTTTTGTCCTAAATCTGCAGACGACTGTTGTATAGGATGAAAATGGGAACACACCAGAGCCCTAAATCACCTAGAGCAACACCATGTAAGTTCTAAGAAACTACTGCATAGCTAACGGATACGTTATACTACTTAACTAAAGACATGAATTTCTTGTTAATATTTAAACAAACGCTCTGTAAATGCAGAAATTATTTAGCAGACAACTGAACATCTCACATCATATTTAGGTGTGTGACTAACCCTTATAGAAAATATGGAATCGTACCAAAGCGGAATGAAGGGAACTCTGGTATTCAGACATATTAATCAGTCTATAGTCAGATATTCCTCTTTTTGTCCAGTCCTGTTAGGGGTTACCCAGACGATGCAGTGCTATTTGGCAGGACAAATGTTGTTTACGTTCAGATGCTTTAAAATGTTGGATATGGGTATAATCAGCTTATCAATGCAGATTCTTGATTAGATTCTGAATTGCAAGCGCACAAGCTTGGGACAGTTCGCAAGATTCAATTCCAATTTCAAATGAATTCATTTAGGCTTCAGAGTCAGTTTTAAAGGGGTTATATGATGCTGCTAAAAATAACATTATTTTGTGTATTTGGTGTAATGAAATTTGTTTATGCGGTTTAAAGTAAAAAAAAAACACATTATTTTCCACATACTGTACATTATTGTTTCTCCTCTATGCCCCGCCTTTTTGATACGCGTCGATTCACAACGAAACACACGGCGGCCTATCGTGAGCTGAGGCCGGGCTAGAGTGAGCAGAGGCAGGTGGGCCTGAGAACAGCGCGGCCGACGGATTCGACGAAGGAGCGGCAACCGCATGTGACGACCCCGGACTGGACTCCGCTTCGTCCACGGGGAAAGCCGATCCGGCGATCCACAGCACTAAGTTGATGTAT